TTTTCCTGTTTTCCCTCTCTTTCTTGGAACCAGCTGCCAACTGATATGCTTGGACTAGGATGTTGGAGGATGATAGACACATAGACCAACGACTGCTCCAGATAGCTGCAAGCCAGCTCCCAAAGTAGATCCCCCTGCTGACTTGACAGCTGACTCTAGACACAGAAGCATGCCTAGCTACGACAAGCAGAAGAACTGCCCAGCTGATCCCAGCCTAAATTGTTGTTTTAAGTTTGGGGTAGTTTGTTTTCTAATGAAAGTGAACTGGTACATGAAGTCCCAGAGATTAGCAACAGCAGTGAGCCACTACTGTCTTAGGCTGCAGAGACAAAAGGAGAAGGCGATATAACTGGGGCCTGGTATAACCAGAGCACCCAAAAGAAGAGGAATAAGGGCAAGTGTGTCTCATGGATGCTTAGAGGCACAGAGGAATGGAGGAGAGGAGGTTAACTGAGGCAAAGAAAGGGAGAAATATCTTGGCTTCTCTCTTCTATCCGCCTTCCAGTCTCCCACCAGGGCCTGCCATCAGCTGAGCTCAGCTGGCAGCCAGTTAGGGAAAGATCTGGAGATGCAACCTCTAGGAGTCAGTTTCTCTGCAACACAGAGCAGAGGAGAGGAAAGGCTAGGAATGGATCCAAGTGCAAACAGTCCTAGGACCAGGGCTACACATTCACTGGGAGAAAGAGGAGGTGGGATTACTGATTGAATTTTCAAAATAGCAAATTGCATTCTCTTATTCAAATTTTATTCCCTATTCAGTAATTTAGCCCAAACTAAAAATGGATTTTAGTTATTGGAAAACCGTGATTGTCAAGTGTTTCAACTTTTGAGAAAATATTCAATCAAACTGTATTAGCCTATTTACGAAATGCTGCACCTGCCTTAACCCATCAAAAACAAGCAAACGGAAAGGACATTCTTGGGGGGGGAGGGGAGAGAGGGAGGAGGGAGGGAGGTGTCGGTGATGGGCCATAATAATCATATACATTGTATATTGACAAAATAGAGGGAGGAGGGAGGGAGGTGTCGGTGATGGGCCATAATAATCATATACATTGTATATTGACAAAATAGAGGGAGGAGGGAGGGAGGTGTCGGTGATGGGCCATAATAATCATATACATTGTATATTGACAAAATAAAAATTTAACGAAAACAAACAAACAAACAAAATAATCCAAACATATGAATGATGCTACTGTTAGATCAAACAACATAGAAATCATAAAACACCAATTTGATTAATTTTAATTCATTCAGTAAGCATTCAAATTTCTCTATGTCAATCAAGCACAATGAATTACAACACCACAGGTATGCACACACATACATACACAGATAATTGTGATGTAGTACAAATGTTGCTGTAGTGTGAAGACAGTGGGGTAGGGTCATTTAAGCTGGGTCTTGAAGAATGAATGAGTTTACTGGGTGGAAAAGAGAAAGAATATAGCTTTCAGGAAGAGTGTGCAAAAGTTTGGAGGTAAGATGCCAGATGTCATATTTAAGTCTGTATTTAAGTCTCTATTTAAGTTCTGTAGTTCGGTATGGCTGAAACACTGAGTGCAGAAGGGATATGGACAGAAAGGAGGCCAGTGAACTGGCAGGGGCTAGACCACATAGGCCTCATATGTCACGTTGAGGAGTTTGCCCTTTATAGTCAATTGAATGAGATTAACATTTTTTATTTTATTAGATTTGTTTGTTTGTTTTGTTTTTGGTGGCTGGCCAGGACAGGGATCGAACCCTGGACCTTGGTGTTTATTGTATTAGATTTTTAAGAATTAAATTAATACAAGTTTATTTTAAAGAGTTTAAAAAAAATGATGTGAAAGGAAAAAATGGGTGATGATTTCTGCCCACTCCTATCCTGGAAGTAGCTGAGGCTCATCAGGAGGGTATCCTACACAGCTGTCTTTTTTTATGCAGGGTTCGTCAGTTTGCTTATTTGATCTGGCTCAGATTTAAAAAATGGTGTAATGTAATTATTACTCTGCAACTTGCTCTTCTCCCTTAACAACATGTGGACATGTCTCCAGATGAATTAGATCTAAATCATTTGGTTATTCAACCATTGTCTTACTGGTGGACAGTCAGGTTGTTTTCCAATCTGTCCAAAGACAAAATTACAACAAATTTAGTTTAAAGAACTTGACTGGCTTTTTTTTTTGCAATTCTAGATTTGACAGTTTTTAGCAATGACAAAAATACTGCAGGATGTTTCCTTGAGGATGATTCTGGGTGTATTGGGGCTTTCATTTCAGTAAAACAGGTTTCTAAAGGTAGGATTTCTGGGTCAGTGGGTGTTTATAGTTTTAATTTTAATAGCTGTCTCCAGATGACTTTTGTAACAGGTTGTAGCAATTCCTATTTGTCAACCCCCTCACGCAGAACTGGACATTATCACTCTTTTACTTGTACATTTTGGAAAATCTGATTGGTGGGAAAAAGGCTGGTTTTATTTGTCTTTCCAGGACTTCTGCAGATGTTGAGTGTCTTATGTTTATCGACAATTTTCATCCTCCCTTATGTGAATTGCTGTTCTCTTTTTCTATTCAGTCATCTTTTTCTTATCAATTGGTAAAAGCTCTTTGAATATTAGTAATTGTTCATCTTTATCCATGTGTTTTGCAAAGATTCCCTTCCCTCACTAGATTATCATTTGTCTTTTGCATATTTTTTAAACTTTTTATACAGAAATAATTAGAGATGAACAGGAAGCTGCAAGAATGCTATAGGGAGGCCTATGTACCCTTCACTCAGCTTGTCTTAAGGATAACATCTTACACAACCCTAGCACAATGTCAGAACCTCATTTGTCTTTTGATGTAGTTGAGGTACTTTTGATTACAGTAACTTTATTGTACATTTTAATATCTAGTAAGGCAAGTCTTACCATTCTATACTTTTTCATAATTTTCTCGATTACTCTCAGATACTGATTTTTTTTCCACTTGAAATTTTAAGCCTTGGATGTCTCAACCCAAGAAGAGAGAGTGGATTCTTCCTTCCTCTGCAGTTTTGTTCTATCCTGGCCCCCACTGGATTGGATGAAGCCTATCCATACTCGCAAGGGTGGGTCAGCTTTACTCAGTCTACTGATTCAAATGTTAATTTCTTCTGCAAACACCATCACAGACACACCCAGAGGGGATTACACAGGACTGAATACCAGGAAATAGAAAACAGGACTCTCTTTGAGGGTGCCTGTCACACCATGGAATGCTATGTAGCAGCCCGAATAAGGTGGCTCTGTATATGACAGTGAAAATCTCCAAGATACATTGTTAAATAAAAAAAGGAGGCAAAACTATTTATGGCACTATTTATGTTTTTTAAAAAATATATACAAAAAATAGAATAATTTGTTTTTCTGTATAGATATGCATAGAAAATATCTGGAACACTCCCAACTGATTACCATGGTTAAATCTTGAATTTTTGATTATCTGTATAGTTTGGATTTTTAAAAAATGATAATATATTCATGTTTTGTGCAATTAAAAATAATTTTAAAACAGACTATTGTGAGTGCAGAAGAGAGATGGTGGTGGACAGAAGCCTACAGCAGCAAGAGAGATGGAGAAAAGTGGGACAGAAGGGAGAAAGAAGTATTTAGGAGGTAAAAACTAAGAGATTTTATTAAAGCATTTGATAGAAAGGGAGAAGTCTAGGATGACTTTAAGCTTTTGAGTTCAGGTGACTGGGTAGATGAGGATTTCTCTCATTTAATTAGAGAACACAGAAGGAACAACAGAGTCTGGAGCTGTCCAAATCTTAGCCCCTGTACAAACTCCTCCATGCTTCAGGCATGCAAGGCCACTGATACCTGTTGGTCTTGTATCTGGGGAGGAGATTAAAGAAAGCTGAGAAATGAATCTCCACCCAAATCCTTTACTGTCCTGATTAGCCACACCCACTCTCTCTAGGTACGGAGGAAAATGCCAGGGGGATTATTACTACAATGAGAGCTCTGGCCAGACTTCAGTGTCATCCTCTTGTTGAGTAAGCTGACATTCATGTGAGCCTAGAGCACACCACGTGCCTTAAGTTGGTAAAACCTAAAAAACCCACTCAGGCCTCCTTCTTCCACCTCCCACTCTGGACCCCCTTTGGTCCTCTACTTAGGAGAAGGCTTGGACATGTCAACCTGGTTGAGAGTTAAATGAAGAGGGTTTACTTGAGAGCTCATTAGGACCGCAGCCTGGGAGACACAGATTCAAAAGGACCTGAGCATATGCTCTGGAGAACAAAAGAAAGTCAGGGTACTTTTTAAAAAATGCAGATATGAAAGTTGTGATTGGTGTTAACATGGGTCCAACAGCCTTGCTCATAAGGGATTGGTCATAACGGTTCTTGGAGGCGGGCTTTTTAGTCAGGGACCTTCCAGATTGGCAGGAAGTAGCAAAAAGTAGCAAACAGCATCAGTTGTTCCTTCAGCAGGTCATGACCCTTGTGGTGGTGCTGAGTGCAAAGTTCCAGAATGTTCTCAATTAAGATGTGCTTGAAACTCAAGCTGAGATGGCCTCCCGGCTCCCGACCTTGACTGGACCAATGTCATTTTCCCTTGTCAGACCCTTTCCTATCTTACCAGCTGCCTGGGATCAGAGAGAAATAAACCACAACTGGGATCCATAAATAAGAATGCTAAGAGAAAAGACAACTGCCAAGTGAATGGTGCTGGAGCTTCTTGCCTCTTTCTTCTTCATGCCCAGATACCACCCCATGACACTTAGGACCTGTAATACCCTGGCCTTAGTGCACAAAGCTGTTCTGTGTGCATATGTGTGCATGTGTAACTGTGTGTTGCAGATGAGACTGGAGTGAGGGTGATGGCTGGTGGCACTTGGAATTCAAACATACCCTCTATAGTTTGTCTTCCTTTAAACTGGAGTTGGTTTGACAACCAGGCTGTGGACAACTAAGGATGATGTTTCTATAGTCACCCATTGGAAGGGATAAAATCCTGCCTATGCCTTTATTTATTTATTTTTGGTGACGGGCCAGTACAGGGATTCGAACCCTTGACCTCGGAGTTATCAGCACCATACTCTATCCAGCTGAGCTAACCGGCCAGGCCCTGCCCATGCCTTTAGTCATTACAATTTCTTCTCATTATCCCTCTGGGACCAATGAAAAGTGACCACTATATTGAACAAGGGTCTTTAAGGATGTCTCTTTGGCTCTGGCCCCAGAAGCTGCTGAAAAGGTGAGCAACAACGTTAATAAATTAAACCCAAGGCCACAGTCTTAGCAGGACCTAGGAGCCTCCCTGGATTAATGACCATCTCAATGGTGCTCGGTTACAGTGTTCACTAAGGTCCTACAGAGAGGGTCTAGCATAACAAACAAGGTTCAAGCCATGCAACACTTGTGACATAAAGTTCCCTAGACAGGGCACTGCTCTACATTTTCACACTACAAATCTTCCCTCATCAACTTAATCCCTTGCTCCCAGAGAGCAACTAAAGTTCCCTCTCTACTTTTCCCACTTAAATATGGCCAGAGAGAATCTCCTCCTTGTGTATTTACTGGCTGGAACTTGCACCCAGAGCAGGAATTCTCAGCTTAGGCTGCACATTAGGATCGCCTGGGAGCTTGAAAAAAGGCCCACCGCTAGGCCCCATCCCTGGAGATTCCTGAGGTAGGGCCCATGAGGTAGGGCCCAGGCACCAGGAGCCTTAAGGCTCTGATGATGATTCTAATGGGCAGCCAGAGTTGAGGTCCACTGACCTATGGCCGGGGCATATTTCTGGACTAAACTATGCTCTTCCAAATGGATTTCTCCAATTCTAAGTCTCTTGGTTCCACCTTTCCAACATTCTAACCGAACAGAAATTTCTGTGATGATGGCCTCACATCAGGACTGGGACTAGGGTGTGGCAGGTGAGGCATGCAGGGTGCAAAATTTAAGGAGGCTCCTACTTTCAGGTGCTGACCCTACATTTGCATGACCCTGGGAGTGAGTGCCTCCTTAAATTTTGAGCTTTGGGTGCCTCTCTTGCCTAACCCTAATCTTGCCTCTGGTTCATATAACAGCTGCATTCTTAATGGGGGTGATACTGCCTCTAATGGGGCAAAAACTAATTCCTGGAGGGAGTGGGGGTCCAAAAAAATCTTACTGTGTTTGTGTATGAAGTGCAGACATATATACAGTACATGAAGATACATACAGTATATCTGTGTTATTAAAATTTCATGGGGCGATGGTTAGGGAAAAAATGTCTAAAAAGGCTCCTTGTGGGGCCAGTAATTAAAAAGAGGTAGGGAAACACTTATATAGAACATTGACACAGCACTATGGTGCACTTGAAATGTAGCTGGTGAGACTGAGAAACTGAATTCTAAACTCAATTTAATTTCAATTAATTTCAATTTACATACCCACTTATGGTTGGTGGTTACTATGTTACATAGCACAGATTGAGAGGCTGGACAAGGCCATAAGACAATCACCGTGCCCATCTGGTCCAAAGTATAAACATATTCTAGAAACAAATGGGATCTCCTTCGCAGTTCACAATGTAAGTAATGATCTATTTACTCCCATAATTTCTCAGGCACGGCTGGCCAGTGGGCTCAGTCGGTTAGATCATGGTGCTGATAACACCATGTTCCAGGGTTCAATCCCTGTACTGGCCAGCTGCCAAAAAATAAATAAATACAAATAAAAAAAATCAAAAGTGGTGTTTCCAGAACCCAGTGCAAACTACCATCTGCGCACCCACTGTAGAGGGGCAGACAGGGGAAGCAGAGCAGAGGAGAAAGAGACAACTCCTACAGCAGAAATGCACTATAAAAGGGGAATAAGGGGCTGGTTGGTTAGCTCACTTGGTTAGAGCAAAGCCTTATAACCCCAAGGTCACGGGTTTGGATCCCCATCCAGGTCAGCTGCCCTCCCAAAAAAGGGGGTGGAGGAAGGAGGACCCTGTCCTAGGGGAAAATGGTCTCCTAACCATGTGACTTACCTCCTGGAGGTGTGCTTGAGACTTAACCCACACCCTCTCTTATGATAAAGACACCTTGCTTTTACAAGTTAATTTTTCCATTAAATTTTCTGGCTTTGCTCTCCCCCAAATCCCAATCTTAAACTGGTATTGCTTTACTTCTCTCTCCTCATCAGGATGTGCAGCAGGCCGAATGCAACTGTTTCCTACTTTAGCATTCACTGAGCCTATGTGTCCAGCTTCAAAGGCCCCTCCGTGTTCCAATGGTTGTGCAAACTGGACACCCCCCTCAAACATTCTCTAGCCCAACTGCTGTGACCTCAGGTGCCCAGGAAGAACAGGATGTCCTCTAACTCTGATTTTCCTGAGCTTTTTTCTTTTTAATGAGACTCCAATTTTTTCAAAATAAGCAATAAAAATTTTAAAATATAAAACGAAATTCCAGAAACAGTGGTTATTGCCACATGATGTTTCCATGAGTTAAGGAAGGATTGAGAAAGTCATTGACTCATCTTCTTTTCTAACATCAGCATCTTGTTGCATTTGGCTACGTTGCCAGCGTGGTCTTACTCTTTGCACTGCTTCAGAATCAAATTCTAATTTCCTCTACAGACAGATGGATGTTTCGGATGAAGTAGGCTGAAGGTCTTAATCAGCCAAGTAGACTCCTGCAGGTGAGTGAAGTCTATTTCTTCCTCAGTGTAACAAGTTTTTTCACAGTTTCCACAACATTTTCAGAGGCTGGGAAGTCCAAAGTCCAGGGAACACATCTGGTGGGGCTTTCTTGTTGGTGGTGGCTCTCTACAGCAATGTAGGGTGTCACATGGTGAGAATGGGCTGAGCGAGAGAGCTAACCTTTCCACTTGCTCTTTTTATGAAGACACCAGGACCACACCCATTACTCCATGAATGGATCAACCCATTCACGAGGGCACAGTCCTCACAATTACTTCCTAAAGGCCCACCTTTCAAATACCAAAACTGAATTTCCCACCCTCTTAGCACTGTTACAATGGGGGTCAAGCTTCACTGAGGTTTGGGAGGACATTCAATCCACAGCAACGGGTACCTTGCATAGCTGGGCTAAAGCACTGAAGGACATCTTTTCCTGGGTGGGGGATGGGAGACTAGTACAGATCCCAGGCTATTTAAGACAGTATCTCCCTGTGTCAGGATGTTTCATTCCCAGCAATGCTACAGTTATTCTTGAGAACTACAAGTGAGAAAGTGGGGAAAAAAGGGTTGGTCCAAGGCCACCCAGAAAACTGTCCTGCAGAGGTTGCAGTAGGGATGTCAGCCAGAGGTGTAGTCATCTGAAAGCCTGACTGGGGCTGGAGGATCTGCTTCCAAGATGGCACACCTTGTTCATTTAGCTGGCAAGTTGGTGCTCGCTGCTGGCAGGATGCTTCAGTTTCTCGCCACGTAGACCTCTACCAAGGGCTGCTTGAGTGTCCTTCAGCTTTTTAACTCTTCAGTAAACTTTCTCTATCCTGGTGGTAGTACTAAAAGCATTCTGTTTTGGCCACCACTATCCCTTAAGCAGAACCCAATGCTGCTTTCTCTGGAGTTCTGGCTTCATTCCCCGCTGGCACTCCATTATGCTTACTTCAAATGGACTTGGTTGGGTAAGTTGGTTCCTTTTTCATTTACCAAGATAAGGCTGTCACTCTTTGCAGATCAGGTGCTTTCCTCCTCCTCCCTCTCTCATTCCCACCATTCCTGTCTTGACTACGAGATTAAAACCTGTTTGTCAGGCTGATTCCATTCACCTTCAAGTTTCCTCCTCCTTTCAAATTCTGGACAATTGTTTTCCAGATAACAAAGTCTGAAACCATTTTACCACTTACATGCTCTTAAGAAAACGTGAATTTTAGAACAAAATGGCCTTTTTAGTCCCTCGAAAGCTCTTGGGTATGCAATAATTTTATTGAGTGTTCTGTCCACTTTACCCAAAGGAAAAAACCCATCTCTTATAGAGTAAAATCTCCCTCCTTACCTGTCTATTGGCTTTTGAACCTACTCTTGGGGCCCCCAACTCCATGACCATTATCTAGGCTTAGGAACAGCCAAGTCTGGGTGAGAAGTGGAATCACTTGGCAGCCCCAGAAGCTTCACACTGGCTCCTGGCTTGCTTTGAAGTGAGTCTGCCTTGGTCCTATAAGTGAGTAAAACCTGGAGCCTCCCAGTGAGTGACAGAGTTCCTTCCCAGTGCTGGGATCTGTCCAGTGGTGTGCTGGAGCTAGTTTGTAGAGATGATTGCTAATTTGCTGTATTAGTCTGTTTCTGTTGCCTATAACAGAAATACCTGAAACTGGGTAATTTGCAGAGAAACAATATTTATTGCTTACAGTTTTGGAGGCTGGGAAATCTAAAGTCTAGGGAACACATCTGATGAGAGCCTTCTTGATGGTGGCTTTACAGCAACGTGGGGTGTCACGTGGCAAGAATGACAGGGCAGAGAGAGCTAATTCCTCACTCTCTCTCCTTTTAAAGCCCTCAGAACCACACTCATAACCACGGTGAAACTGTCCATGGATTAATCCATTCACTAGGTCATGGTCCTCACAATCTAGTCACCTCTTTAAGTCCCCACCTTTCAACTACTATAAATAGGATTTCCCACCCGTAACACTGTCACAGTGGGGCTTAAGTTTCTAATACATGGACCTTGAAGGGCACAATTCAATCCACAGCACTTGCCTTACCAGATATTAAAATTTACAGTACAGTTGTTGTAATCAAAACAGCACCATAAACTACATCAAAAGACACATGAAGTTCTGATTGTGTCTTTTGGGAAGGCTTGGGAAGGACTGACGGACAGGAAAGGCAGACAGGCCAAACAGCAAGCACATTCAGGTGGATTTGGTAGAATAGGTGGCAGGACGGAGGATGGTGTCACAATAGGCCACTGGAGTTTGAGGTTTCAGAGCTAAAACAAGGCACAAGAGAGGAGGTGGCCGTGGTTGACTTTTTGCATGTATGGTGCCTTCTGTGACACAGGGCAATTCTTGAGAGTGGGCAGATACGTGGTTCGTATTTGTCCTCCTCTCCTCCTAGGCATTCAGCACCTAGCTCAGAGGTTCTCAACCTTGGTTATCTTCCCTGAGGAGCTTTTAAAAATCCCC